TGATTTAAAAATCATTTAGGGGCATGAAATGAAGGGAGGCTGAGATGCTCTAACAGTTCTTTATCTAAATGGTCCTCTGCCCACTCAGAGGAGTTAGCATCGTCATCAGGTGAGATGTGACGCAAGCTTACTTGGATCTGCAGATCTCTCTGTAGAAGCTGGCTGGCTGGCTGAGTAGTTGCAAATAAAAGTCAGGAAGAGGGGTGTGTGCGGGGTGACTGGCCCCTCTATCAGTTTACTGGCAATGTCAGGGAAGTGGGCAACCTCATTCTCTGGAGAGGAGGTATAGGTTAATTTTTTTTGGTGCTGGGAATTGAACTCAAGACCTCGGCAGGAAGGTGCTTGTGCTATATCCTTGCCCCAGCTGTTGAAATTTGAGGTGAGTCCTGGTGTTGCTCCACCTGCTGGCTGTATGGACTGGTTGTGTAGTTGCTCTGAGCATCATCCGTTTCCTCCTCTGTAAAGTGCAGGTAACAAAACTGACTTCTCTGGATAATGTTACCAACGAGGCCCTCAGGACACAGCAATCGTCAGTGTTATTTGCAGTAATACTGAAGAAGATGTAGAAAGCGTCATTTCATTTTTCACATAGAGGCGGCTGTCACTTTTGACAACTGTCAATTCTGAAAATCAGTGACGCCTGATCTCATGATAGTAGCTAAAGAAAACACTGGAGTATTAATCACTGGAGATAGTACTGAAGGTAGTTCCATATTCATTATGTATCTTAAAAATAGATATTTTTGGCCAGGTGTGGTGGTGCATGCCTGTAATCCTAGCACTTGGGAGGCTGAGGCAGGAGGATTCCACAAGTTCGAGGCCAGTCTGCACTGCGGAGCAAGACCCTGCCTTAAAAAACAGAACAAAACAAGAATCGATAATTTTGGCTCTACTGGGATGGCAGTGTTACTGCAGTCCAGAGGTACAGAACTACAAGGCTTTGACAACTATTTGAGCTTTGTGTGGGTATTTACATATATTTATTCTGGATTTTTTTTCTTTTTCTGCAGTTTCCTTCAGCAGTCTCTCCTGAGGGGATGTGCCACTGTGGCTTGGTTTTTAACTTTCTTCTTAGGTAGTTTTCATTTGGAGGGACAGCCAGCGTCTACCCCGGGGTCAGAAAATGGGTCCTGGGAGTAGAGTGGGCCTCTGACAGCGCTACTTTATTCCTGTGCATTTTGAGTCTGTCTTCGTTTCGTGGAAACCGCAGCTGGCAGGAGCATCCTCCCTCCCAAAGCCGAGAGCTCCTCTGTTATCAGGGACTGTGAGCATTGTTCTCGGGGCAGATGCTTCCTGGAACGAGAGTGCCTGCGAGTCAGGACCTCTCTCTCCTTGTCCTCCGCTCTTCTGCTTTATCTGACATCTCTAGTTGCAACAAGAAGTAGTTGAATGAAGAATTCTAAATCTGCAGGGGCTGGTGTTTTCATGAATTCCTATTTTGTTGTATATATTTTTTTCCTCCAGCTAATGTAGACAGATGCATTTTAGCTTGGATTGCTTCATCGGTTTTCTCGGAAGCCCCCTGGGAGGAGGTTTGTCTTCTAGTAGATCTGAGCTGAGGGTCTGCGTTTGAGGGCCTGTTTCCTGCAGTTGTGGGCTTCTTGGTGATCCCTGTGTTGCAGTGGGGGCCTCGCGCTGTAACCAGAGTGTATTTCTGTCAGGGTTTATGTCCCAAATACTAACACTGAAGGATTAAGGGTGCATAATGTGCTTTAATAAATACAGAAAAAGACTTTTTCTTAGGGAAAAGTTCACTTCTTTGCTTGACAGATGTGGGGGAGTTTTTATTTACAATTCCACGCTTGAGGCTGAGGCACTGGTTGCCTTATAATTATGCACTTAAAAATGCATGAATCCTGTGTTCACTAGGAATTGATTATTATGATTATTTTGGGGGGTGAATACCAGCTTTTTAGAGAAAGTGTTTCTTTTACAGATTTTGGAGTTCTATAAGATATTTTATTTTTTGGCACTGGGGATCAAAGTCATGGCCCCATGCACACAAGGCAAGAGCTCTACTGCTGAGCCACATCCCCAGCCCTGTTTTTTTTTAAATGCATTTAGTATAGGGTCTCACTATATAGATTGGACTTGTAGTGATCCTCCTGTTTTCAGCCTCCTAAGTGCTGGAATTACTGGCATGCACCACTGCGCCCAGTCTCAGTCGCCGCCGTCTCACTTCTCGCTGGGGGCGGGGCTGGCATGAACTGGTGCAAGGGATTAAACCCTGGTCCCTGTGCTCTGCCTAAGCAGGCGCTTTAGTCCGCTGAGCTATCTGGCTGGCCTGTTTTTGTTTTTTTGAGACAGAGCCTCACTATGTAGTTCAGTTTGGCTGTGGACTCACTGTGTGATCCAGGCTGGTCTTGAGTTCGAGGCACTCCTCCTGCCTCAGCCTCCTGAGCGCTAGGACCACAGACCTGTGCCACCACGCCCAGTTCTTGGGCCTCTTAGTGGTGCAACTTAGCGCTTGCAGTAGAAGCAGGGTTAACAACACCTTCTCTCCAATGAATCAGTTGGTATTGTTTTTTTTTTTTGCGGAACCAGGGATTGATCAGATCCTTGCATTTGCCAGTCAAGCACTTATCCTACTGAGCCATCTCCCCGGCTCCAGCGAATCAGTTGGGCTCACGGTCTTACCTTCTTCAGTATAAACAGGCTAGTTTAGGAAGCTCAATAGATAAGATGTAGTAGAAGTCCTGGGGAGGGAGGATTTGTGGCTTGGCACAGGCCCCCTAGATGTTAGGGGGTGACAAAGTCTCCCCTTCTCTCCTCCTTGTGGGGTTTTCTTTCCGTTCTGGTGGGTGTTGCTCTGGAATTACATACAAATCAAGAAAGAAGTGAAACACATTTGGTTTACAGGTCAGAAGTGAGAGATCTCATTTGTTCAGGCACCTGAAAGAATTATCTTGATGTCCTTGAAGTTCTAATCTCTTAATCTGTATCTTCTTTTCCTTTTTCTTTCTATAACCTAACATTTATACACTTGGCTTCATACACTTTCATTATTTTTCCTGAGCAGCATTTAAAAAAAATATATATTTAGTACAGGGTCTCACTATGTAGATTGGATTTGTAGTGATCTGCTTGTGTTCAGCCTCCAAGTGCTGGGATTACCACCATGCCCAGTCTCAATCTCAGTCTCAGCAGCCCAGGTGGTGGGGCCAGCACATGCCAGGGATTGAACCCCTGTGTCTGCCTAAGCAGGTGCTTTAATCCACTGAACTGTCTGACCGGCCCTTCCTGAACAGGATTTATTTCACGTAACAAGGAGCCTAACCTCTCCACCTCTGTTAATAAGTCCACCATCATCGCTCACCAAAAACGTTTGATGGAAACCAAGCCTGAGCTAAAATTCAGCAAGGCATCTGGGGGCCCTTCATGCCCTCTCCTGACAGTCCCTCGCCACGCTCCCTTCGGTCCCCCAACGTGCATCTGTAGCCTTTGGTCACTTGCTTTTTCTCTGTGGGTTAAAATACCAGAGGGTTAATGGAGTGTGTTTACTTTCTAGTTTTTAAGAATTAAAAATCTGATTTGTCTTTTACTATCTTTTGAACTTTTACTAAAGTGGAATTTTCTTTTCTGTCTTGGTCAGATGGGAGTGAAAATTACTTTAAAGTGTAGTGGATTTCTTTTTTTTTCCTTGGCTAGCTCAGCCCATCCTGAGGGCGGGGCTGGCGCAGCATGTGGTGCTTGGGATGGAACCTCGGTCCCCTGCACCTGCCTAAGTTTGCTTAAGCAGGTGCTTTAGACTGCTGAGCTATCTCGCCGGCCCCAAAATGTTACTTTTACTTTTTTGTTGCTTTAAGTTTGATTTTGTGGTACTTGGGATTAAACTCAGGACCTTGTGTTTAAGCCAGATTAAGCACTTATTCCACTAAGCTATCTCCCCAGCCCCAAGGGAAGTGGATTTCTTTCTTTCTTTTTAAAGTTTTATTTATTTATTTATGTGTGTGTGTGTGTGTGTGTGTGTGTGTGTGTGTGTGTGTGGCCAGCTCAGCCCACCAGGGGGCGGGGCTGGCTGGCATGTGGTGCTGGGGGATTGAACCGCAGTCCCTGTGCTTTGCTAAGCTTGTTCTGAGTAGGAGCTTTAGACCACTGAGCCATCTCACCAGCCCCCGGGAGTGGATTTCTAACTGGTGCTCAACTTGCTATACCCGGCTGAATTAAACTAGCGTAGTGCTGAGTGTGCACCTAAAGGTTGTCTGCAGCTTAAACCAGATCAGGAGAAGAGGCCAGAATGGTGTCAGGGATGCTCTTTGGAGAAGCTGTTGGGGGCTGTTCTGCTGGAGGTCCTTGTCATGCTGGCTTTCCTGGTGAAATCTGCAGGAGCTCTGGTCCTCGTCTTGCGCTTCCTGGCTCCAGAGGGGAAGATGGAGCCCTGCTCAGCCTCGTGGAGAAGCTTGTCGAATTGGCTTTCCTGATGGGGACTCGGCTTTCCTCATCGCTGGAGGAGCTCGGGACCTCACTGCTGCTGAGGACAGCTGTGGCACTTTTGCGAAAGCTCTGATGCTTGCCTGGGGTGTTGCTTCCTGGCTGCAGTGCGGATCCCCCAGCCCGCTGGCACAGACCCTTCATCCCGCTGGCACAGACTTTCTAGCTCCCACTGCTGACCTTTGGGCCTTCCCAGCACAGATCCGTGAAGCGGGCCTGCGTGAGCCTTTGTCGTGGGCTCCGGGCCTCCAGCTGGACTGGTGGGAGGCCCTGTTATGAGCTCTAGGTTTTCATCTGGACTCATGCAGGATATTAGGATCCAGGCCCTGAGGTGGAGTCTTTAATGTTCATGTATGTGGACAGATTTTCTGCATTTCTTCTATATTAGTCTTGGGTGATGCATTATAAACTACTACTATAAAATGTATCCTGTATTGTATTGTTCCCCTTGCAAAGCCCCCAGACCACGACAAAAAGTTTTAACAGATGAGCTGAAAAACTTAAAAAACAAAAACCAAAAAAACCCATCCAGTTCAGTGAGGGTGGCTTTCTGTACGCCTCCTGCTGCCTAGATGGAAATCGGCTCCACGGTTCTTGTGCAAGTGGATTAATGAGTGGACTGTGCGGGCATGTCTCCCAGACAGGTTTCCACACGCAAGCCTGAGGCTCCCGGGAATTGTTTTAAAGGGCGTGGGCTCTTCATTCACATGTTTGTGCTGTGCTGTGGGACCCACAGAAGCAGGCAGGCAGCGTCGGAGACGTGCTGGGGACGAGGAGCCAGGCTGCCTGGATGCAAGGGCGGTGGGCGGTCCTGATCCCCAGACTTCCGCTGGGTCGCCTGGGAAGCACTGTAGTGGTTTCTGCCTTCTACAATCACGCGCTTATTAAGGATTAAATGAGGCCATGTATTTAAAACCCCTAACACATAGAAATCATTCACATAGGAAAACAGTACAGAGAACAGCAACAATTAACATCAAAGGCAGGGATTATGATCTTGAGCTGGGAATTCTACAATGGGTAGATTACTGAGAAGGAAGCAGAAGAGATTTTTTTTTTGTGTGGTACCAGAGATTGAACTCAGGACCCTGTGCTTGCCAGGCAGGCGCTTATTCTACTGAGCTATCTCCCAGGCCCAAGAAGAGAGTTCTTTAAATTTTGTTTATTTATTTATTTATTTATTTATTTATTTATTTTTTGTGGTGCTGAGGATCAAACCACAGTCCCTGTGCTTGCCTAAGCTTGCCTAAGCAGGCACTTTAGACCACTGAGCTATCTCGCTGGCCCCTAAATTTTATTTTATTTTTCATATATTTGGTATAGGGTCTCACTATGAGCTTAGACTCATAGTGATCCTCCTGTTTTCAGCCTCCCTACAGCTGGGACTACAAGTGTGCACCACCACGCCTGGACTGTCTTGGGCTCAGTGTGCCCAGGGGTGGGGCCGGTGTGGCACGTGGTGCTGGGGATCAAACCCAGGGCCCTGTGCTTGCCTAAGCAGGTGCTTAGTCTGCTGAGCTATCTTGCCAACCCAGAAGGGGAAGAAATTTAACACAGAGTATTGAGTTTCCTCGTAGTGCCAGGGACTTTGTATACAATATTTATATTTTTTGCCGTCCTACTTAAGAAGTTGACACTATCATGTTCATTTTGGAAAGGAAGAATCTAAAGTTAAGAGCAATTTCCCTGACTTAACCAAGTTAATAAATAAATGGTACAATTAGTTCTGTCTGTGGTCCGTAAGCTTTTGTTTTATGTTTTTTTTTTTTTTTTGTGGAACCAGGGATTGAACTCAGTCCTTTGCGCTTGCCAGGGAAGCACTTATTCCACTGAGCCATCTCCCCGGCCCCTTATGTTTTTGTTTTTGTTGGGTGGTGCTGGGGAGGGGAGCCAGGCAAGTGCTTTGTCAACCTCATGGGGTGCTTTTACTGCCTGGAGGAGAAGGACTGAAGGAATTTTTGTTGGATTCATTTGGGGATTTCTTTTTTGAGACAGGGTCTTTTTTTTTTTTTTTTTTGTACCAGGGATTGAACTCAGGAAAGGCCTTGTGCTTGCCAGGCAGGCACTTATGCCGCTGAGCTATATCCCCAGCCCCTAGTATTTGTTTTCAGCTAACCCGGACAGGGCTGCAGGCTTCCTGATCTGCAGCCCACTGCTATTTCCATGTTCTGTAGGAAGCTTTCATAACACGAGGGGCTGTGTGAGACCCACCATGTATTTGCTGAAGTTTCTTCTTCTAATAGGAAATAAGGCCGCACAGTTGAGGCAGCACAGCCTTGCCCACTGGCTTGAGGTGGGCTGTGCTTTCTGGACTAACGGTTCTGCAGAGGTGGGGCTGGGCTACGAGGGTCAGATGTTTCTAAAAGAAAATTCTGTTGCAGTGTTTCTCAAAGTGTGCCCCGTTGTCATTGTTAAAAATTCATTCACATTCGAGGCCACCCTGGAGCACGGGAAGGTATGGGAATTGCAGTTTTAAGCTCAGCTGTCCCCACAGGTGATCTTAGCCGCGCTATGACAGGAGAACAACTGTGGTTTCCTGTCTCACAAGCGGTACCCAACCCACCCTGGAATCCTCGAGGGAGCTCGTGCCCAGCCTGGGGTGGCTTGTGGTGCCTTCATTTGCCTTCCAAGTCCTTTCCCTTAAGCATTGGTGGCATCAGAGGGCCAGGCATCGGGGCTTGAGGGTGCGTCAATGATTGAGTGAAGTTAAAAGTAAGCACACTATCTATCCTAACTATCCACGTGTATATCTATATCTATATAATCTATATATCTAGAGCTATGTCTATTCTCCCACAAAATGATCCTTTATTTATATCCCTCTTTTTTGTTCTGTTTTGTCAGAGATGGGTGTTCCATTGCTGTTAGAGAAGCCGTGTTTGGAGAAGTCTTTAAAGGACCTTTTCAGACTTGATGGTAGTCCAAATACTGTACATGCTTGAATTCAGCAAAATAACCCAATGTAGTCCAATAGTCCATAATAGTAGTGGGTTATCAGCACAGCTGGCGATTGTCTGAAGTTGTTGACTTGAGCCTTTTATAGCTCAGCATATTAATATAGCTTTTTTTTTTTTTTCGGAACTGGGGATTGAATTCAGGCCCTTGAGCTTGCCAAGGAAGCGCTTATTCCACTGAGCCATGTCCCCGGCCCCAGCTTTACTTTTTATACCTTGTGGTTACACTTTTCTGCTGGATGGTTAAGAACAAGTTAAAGCAAGACCTATAGAACTAAAAATGCAACTTTTACTTTCTGCTAAGGTCAGTCAGATCCCCTCAGGATTTACCCTGGAACCATGTATGGCATCTCGTGGATCTTTTGTCAGTGTCAGCTATCTGGATGAGTCACGACCATTGCTTGACCAGTTTGTTCTCTGTGAAAGCCTGAGAGGATTTTTCTCTCTCTAGGTGACTCTGTGGCCCCATAATCTCCATGATCACAAATTTTGGGACACCACTGAGTTACAGAATGTCACACCGGAAGTTCTCTTATTGTCCTGAATCGTCACTGATCTTGAAGGGCCAGGGCCAAAGTATCGGCTATCTTTTGAGCCCATATTTCTGTCTAATTTTTGGTCTGCAAATTGTAGTTGTTAAACATCCAGAAGAGACGCTTACTGATATTATTGTCCTATGGCAGAGGCGGTTGAGCTTAACATCACTATCTGTCTGAGTATCACATACCTTAGACATAAAAGGAAACTGCTATTTTCCAACAACCATGGATGTTCTAAAGCTACTTTCTCTTAGTTCACTGAGAAGAAAGCTTTGCGCTAGTATTGTTAGATGAGATATCATGTCTGCATCTTGTCCTCTGAACACTGCAAAAGACAATATGCAATGTATTAATTATTATAACTGTCTTACTAACCTGTTCTGAAACTGTTACATTGCTGTTTTCTTTTTTTCATTAAAATGAATAAAAATTTTTTTAAAAAAGTAAGCAGCTAATTCTTTAAATGGGTTAAATTTGCGCCTCTCCTGTAATGCTGAGTGAGTCACCGTGCTTGTGACTGTCGGAAAGGCTGGGTGGAAACAGCTCAGATCCGTAGGCGCTTGGGCGGGGCTGGTGTTTGTGCTTTATGCCCTGCGAGGGTGGCTTCCTGGTGCTGAGACTCGTCGTTGTCCCGAAGATGTTTCCCTTCATTAACTCACTGTTCATCGACTGTTCTGTTGTGTAGGAACCCTGAATAAGTGTGTGGGAAGTTCAGGGAGCAAGAGGAAGGACAGTACTGAGGTTGCAGAAGAAGAATAGATAAAATTAAAGGTGCTCAAGAACTGCTTGGTGACTGCTGAGTTTTAATATCAGGTCAAACACAGTAAGATTTCTGGCTTAAGAGAGTAGGTGAATGTTTTTACCACACACATGGTGCAGAAAGCTGGAGTTTTCATTTCTCGTGGTATAAAGAGTTCTGTGTGGTTTGTAAACAGTGCTTCCTGTGTGTAACCCTGCGCCTGGCGCTGTCCCCTTTTGTTTCTGGGGGGGATACAGATGTCTGTTCATGAGTGAGTGTCCCACCTCTGCCCTGCATTTGGCACCTGGGAGGGACAGGCACTTTGCAGAGTGGAGAAAGGAGGGGCTGGCTGAAAGACGGCTAGTGGCTGAGTGGTGGGCGGGAGGAGAGAGGAGTGGTGCGTGTGTGTATGTGTGTGTGTGTGTGTGTATGTGTGTGTGTGTGTGCCGGTGGGACTGTGGCTTGAACCCAGGGCCTTCACACTGAGCTACTTCCTTAGCCCTTTTTTATTTTTTATTTTGGGACATGGTCTCACAAAGTTGGAAGTCGCCCAGGCTGGGCTTGAACTTGCGATCCTCCTGCCTCAGTCTCCCAGGCTGCTGGGATGACAGGCGTGCACTGCCACACCAGGCATGATAGTGGTTTCCTGAAAAGATACCTCATTCTGCTCTTGATGTGAGCGTGGGGAGGCGTCTCACACAGATATATGGTGTTGGAAAGCCTGCGAGTGCAGGAGGTGCACAGGAGAGACAGGACGTGTGGAAGAGTGAGACCACTAGCAGGAGCATGGGAACAAGGACACTAGCCGCGGGTCAGTCAGGGACGGGCCAGCGGAAGAGCACGCTCTCTCAGAGGTCCATGGAGGAGGAGCCTTAGGGAAGGAAGGTTGTTTTGTCTTTTTGAGACAGGGTCTTGCTATGTAGTCCAGGCTGGCCTTGAACTCGCCACGTAGCGCAAGCCTAGACCTGGCCGTGGGCCTCTTCCTCAGCCTCCTAATTGCTGAGGTACAGGGGTGCACTGTCATGCCCGCCTTGGGAGGTTTTAGTGGTGCCAAGGAGCCCGGAAGACCAGAGAAGAGCAGTGGAGACACGGGCATGGATGACCGTAAGAGAATGGTTTTAATTTGAATTCTGGGATCGAAAGCAACTTTTCAGGAATAAATGCAGAGTGAGAAAATAAGTCTGAAATTGGCTGTGGTTCCACTCTCTTGAGAAGCTTGATAGCAAGAAGGAGAGAAGTGACCTTGAGATTTTTGTCCTTGAGATTAAGATTAGCACTTTCTCCCTGGCCTTTTCCATTTTTACTGTGAGACAGATTCTCGCTAAGTCATTGAGTTGCCCGGGCTTGGGCTTGGGCTACCCCTGCCTCAGCCTCTCAGCGTCCTGGGATTACATGTGTGCACCACTATGCCTTGCTTGGTGGAGGTTTTTTTGTCTTTTTGAGACGAGGTCTCACTATGCAGTTCAGGTTGGCCTTGAACTTACTTTTTAGCTCAGGCTGGTCTCAAACTCAAAACGATCCTCCTGCCTCAGCCTCTTGAGTGCCCTCTTGAGTGCCCTCAGCTGGGATTATAGGCATGCTAGGTGGAGTTCTTTTTTCTTTTAATTTTTAAATTTATTTTATTTATGTATGTGTATGTGTGTGTGTGTGTGGCCAGCTCAGCCCACCAGGGGGCGGGGCTGGCTGGCATGTGGTGCTGGGGGATTGAACCGCGGTCCCTGTGCTTTGCTAAGCTTGTTCTGAGTAGGTGCTTTAGACCACTGAGCCATCTCACCAGCCCCTAGGTGGAGTTCTTAAATCTCTATATAATTTTTTTTGTGGTACTGAGGACTGAACCCAGGGATTTTATACTGAGCTACATCATCAGCCCTTTTATTATTTTAAAAAATTTTGTTAATACATGTTTGTAGGACACAATGATTCCATCTGTTGTGGGGAATGTACACAACACATACACAGCACATCTCTATCTTTTTTTTTTTTTTTGGGAAGGGTCTACAGGGTGTTCAGGGTCTCACTACTAGATCGGACTCATAGTGATCTGCCTGTTTACAGCCTCCCAAGAGCTGGGGTTACAGGTGCATGCCACCACGCCCAGTCTCAATAGCTGTTTCAGCACGCCTGGGGATTGAACCCTGGTCCCTGTGCCTGCTTGCAGGAGCTTTAATCTGCTGAGCTATCTAGCCGGCCCTAGCGCATCTCTATCTGCCTCCCTCCAGAGGATGTTTTCTTAAAAGACCCAGCAGACAGGTGATAGTGGTGAATGTGAAGGTGAGGAGTGGGAATTCCCTGGGAATTCAGCAGGGAGGGGATTGGAATGTGGGCACCCGGCTCGCTGTACCCTTTCTGAATTCCCCCAGGAGGATTCTCTGAGTTCCCTTTCATCCCTCGCTAGGCTCAGGGTGAATTTGGGGGAAGAAGATTTGATGAGGGTACAGCAGTAGGCAGTTGGTGGGCAGGCCTGTGGGTTTGCAGTTCTGAAGAAAGGATTCATGAACAAAAATCTGAAAACCAGAGTGGCAAGTGGTTGGAAATAGACGGGGAGGAAAGGATTCTTTTTCGCCTCCAAAGACCACCTGGTGGCTTCCTTTGGGCAGGGCAACGTTAGGGATTGACCTGCATGTCTGAAAATACAGTCGGCACAAATGAGTTACTATTACAAACTTAGCTAAAATAGGTGTAAAGTCTCCCGAGGGACGCAGAGACAGGGCATTTATGATTCAGAACATTTCAAACATTGATTACGAACCAAACTGAATATGGGTGACAAAGCAAGGTGACAGAAATATTTAGTGACCATGCTAAGTTCTTGTTTCTCCAAAAGCCAGCTTCATTTTGTGTGCAAGCCTGAGTTCAAAGCAGATTGGCTCGGGTGCTGTGTTGACAGTTTCAGAGTCAAGCTGGGCTTCCTGGATTAGCGAGCTGTGGCTGCAGGGTGTGTGTGTGTGTGTGTGTGTGTGTGTGTGTGTGTGTGTGTGTAGCTGGTGGTCTGTCCGGCTGCTTGGTGGCTTGAGTCAGTAACCTGGAGCAGTGAGAGGTCACTAGGCTCTCTTTTTTTTTTTTTCTTTTTTTTTTTGGCGGAACCAGGGATTGAACTCAGGTCCTTGTGCCTGCCAGGCAAGTGCTTATTGCACTGAACTATCTCCCTGGCTCCTCTCTTTTTTTTTCCTAATATATTTAGTACAGGGTCTCACGGGGCAGCTTGGACTCAGACTCATAGTGAGCCTCCTGTTTTCGACCTCCCCAGTGCTGGGATTATAGGGCGCACCACCATTCCTTGTCTCTGTGGGCCCTCGGGTGGGGCTGGCACAGCATTCGGGACCTGGGATTGAACCCAGGTCCCTGTGCTTGACCTAAGCGGGCACATAGTCCCCTGAGCTATCTCACCAGCCCATTGCTCACTAAGCTTAGCACGACTTTGGCTGTCCTGGGTCTTTTGTATTTCCATATGGATTCTAAGATTGCTTTTTTCTAGTGCCAAATGTCACTGGACTTTTGATGGAGAGTGCTCTGAATGCAGAGGCGGGTTTTGGTAATATGGAGATTTTTTTTTTTTTTTTTTTTTTGCCAAACCGGGGATTGAACTCAGACCTTTGCGCTTGCCAGGGAAGCACTTATTCCACTGAGCCATCTCCCCGGCTCCAAATTCATTCATTCATTCATTTATTTATTTATTTAATATGGAGATTTGGACAGCGTTCATTCTGCTGAACCCAGCTGGCTTTCCGTCTTCGCTGCCTCCTTCAGTCACTCTGGTCGGCGGTCTGTAACTTTCCTCATAGAGCTCTTCCACCCGCTTGGTGATTTCTAGATGTGTTACATTTTTGACGCTCTTGTGAGTAGAATTGTTTTCCTGATTTATTTTCTCAGCTAACTCATTAATTGTGTACAGAAGAGCTATTTATTTATTTATTATTCTTAATGTGGATTGTGTATCCCAGAAACATTCCGTAAAGGGTGGCTGTGGGTCCTGCTGATGCCCCTCAGTACTCCTCTTCACAGCCTGAAAGCTGTGTGGACACAGCTGGGGACCAAAAGAACTTTATTAGCAGGTGCCAGAATTCAGCGATGGTATAATTTTTTTGGTGGTACCAGGGATCGAACTCGGGACCTTGCGCTTGCCAGGCAAGCACTGATGCCACTGAGTTATCTCCCCAGTCCCCAGAGATGGTACAATTTTGACTTGTCATCACATAGCATGCATTTTCTGCCTGTAATCTCAGCACTCTGGGAGGCAGACATAGGAAGATTGAAAGTTGGAGCCCCGGGGCTGGGGAGATGGCTCAGTAGAATAAGCTCCTGTGTTCAATCCCTGGTACCACAAAAAAAAAAAAAAAAAAAAAAAAAAAAAAAGAAAGTTGGAGCCCAGCCTGGGAAATTTAGCCATTTAGTGAAATCCTTGTCTCAAAAAAAAAAAAAAAGGCTGGGGATCAGCACGGTGTGAAAGTCCTGAGTTTAATCCCCAGAACTGACTCCACCAAAACAACCCAAATCATTCTTTTAATTCCCCTCATCTATTTAAAAATGCAAAATCATTGTTAGTTCATGAACGCCCTCTTGAGGGGCTGGGGAGATGGCTCAGTAGAATAAGCGCTTGCCTGGCAAGCACAGGGTCCTGAGTTCAATCCCTGGTCCGGCACAAAAGAAAAAAAAAAAAAGAAGAAAAAAGAAAATGCCTTCTGCAGGGAAGCGGCCAGACACCTCGCCCACCCCTTGGGTTTTCCTCTGTACTTGACCTAACTGGTTACACTGCACTGTTTCCTCTATTTGACTTTTAGTGGGCTTTTGGCCTGACTTTGCTGAACAGTCTGAGTGGAATAAAATAAAACTCATATTCAGGGCTGGCCAGATAGCTCAGTGGACTAAAGCGCCTGCTTAGGCAGAGCACAGCGGTGGGGGTTCGATCCCCAGCATGCTGTGCCATGCTGGCCCCGCCCTGCCCCTCCTTCTCAGATGGGGATTAAGACTGGGCATCTGGCATGCGCCTGTAATCCCAGCTCTTGGGAGGCTGAAAATGGGAAAATCACTGAGTCCCATCTTCATAGTGAGACCCTGTAGACCCGATAGACTCTGTACCAAATGCAAAAAACCAAAACAAAGCAAACAAAACCCCCACATATTCATGGAGCTACTTGTAGGCAAGGACAGATAGGTGGGAAAAAAATCAAAGGAATATATAAGATACCAAGGTATGTAAAAGACAGTTTTGTCTTGCTTGAAATACTTGCACTTTCTGCATGGATTCCATTCACAGAATAGTTGTTTAGCCTGAGAACAACATTAAGCTGAAGGTTTAGGGTGGAAACCGGTTTTCTTCTTGTCCATCTGCACAGCAAAGCTTGCATAGCATAGTGAGAGGATTTTTTTCTTTTTCTTTTTGGTACTGGGAATTGAATGTAGGATCTTGCATTTGCCCGGCAGGCGCTTGTGCTGCTGACCGATATCCCTGGCCTAGTGGGAGAATATTTAATAAGTTACTAAAGAGTCAAAATTTTCAGTGAAAAATAGTAAGTTTATGACAACAGCAAAAGGCTGCAAAGATAATTAAACAGAATACACTGTCACGTGGATTATATATATATTTCTTTTTAAGACAGGGTCTCTCCATGCAGTTCAGGCTGGCCTTGAACTCAGTTTGTAGCCCAGGCTGGTCTTGAACTCGCAGCAATCCTCCTGCCTCAGCCTCCCAAATGCTGGGATTACAGGCGTGTACCACCACACCCAGCTGTAGGCAGATGTATTTATAGAGCAGAAAATCTACTTTTCCTCCATAGAGAGTATTTCTGGATCTCATTGGATTTTCAATTACACACCACTCTTTCTCCTCAGCGATTCTCTGAGCTATTTGTTGAGAACAGATGTCAGAAGACGCAGCACTGTGGTATTACAGAGTGTGTTTAAAAAGTTAAGGAAAGGTTAGCTTTTGTGTATGCTTATTACACAACTTAAAAATAGTTCTGGCTCTATTTGTAAATCAGACGACCAGTGCTCAGACTGCCAAGCATGACGGACACTTTAGCACAAGGTCTCTTTTTTTTTTGTGTGTGTGTGGCCAGCTCAGCCCAACCTGGGGGCAGTGCTGGCGCAATATGTGGTGCTGGGGATCGAACTGAGGTTCCTGCATGCTTGCCTAAGCAGGTGCCTTAGACTGCTGAGTTTCTCACTGGCCCACATAGTTTCTTTAGAGTTTCTCAGGGGATGTAGGCCAGTAGAGAACATATGAGAGGGTTTCTTTGGTCATGTACTAAGATGATCAGAGTTTTGCCAAGTTACCTGGGATAACACAGGTATTCCTGTAGGAAGAATTGCCTAACAGTGCATCTTTAGAGTACCTACCATGCCATATTTCAACAAGTGGTAACAGGGGCCAGGGAGATGGCTCAGTAGAATAAGCGCCTCCCTGGTAAGCGCAAGGGCCTGAGTTCAATCCCCGATTCAGCAAAAAAAAAAAAAAAAAAAAAAAAAAAGTAACAGCCTGGCGTGGTTGTGCATGCCTATGCTTTCAGGACTGGGGAGCCTGAGGCAGAAGGATCACTCTGAGTTTAAGGCCAGCCTGGGCTACGAAGTGAGTACAATGCCAGCTTGAACTACATAATGAAACCCTGTCTTAGAAAAAAAAATTATTAGAAAAAAGAAGTTGCTGCAATTTTTTCTTCTGTGTCTGAGTGGAGATTCACTCAAAGGGAAAAAAATGTTCACAACACTTTGCAAATACTATCTATTTAGTCCTCAGCCTAGCAACAGCAGAGAAAGAGATTATTCTTGTTCACTTACTCTGTCTCCACCCTCTGGCTCTGGCTTTATAGTTTAGTGGTGTGAATTGTTGCTAAAATGTTCAGGTTTTCAAATAAGGCCTATGCTGGGATTTAAGAAACGCCTGGGAAATTCCAAGTTGTATTTATAAATTTAGAGGGGAGGCAAGAAGTTAAAAAAAAAAGTTAAATATTTAAAGTTGCTTTTTTAATGAGGATGCTCGAGGCCAGGGGGAGTCCACAGTTGTCGCCTGAGTCACTCCCCAGCCAGCGGGAATTAGGGCAGGCCGTGGTGTGTGTGTGTTTGTGTGTGTGTGTGTGTGTGCGCGCGCGCGTGTGTGTGCCACCGCTGGCTTTTGGCTGGAGCTTCTCTTTCTGACTCTATCTTTCCTGGTGCGCGAGCACATGTGGTCTTGTTGCCCCGGGACCCAGGAATGCAGCTGACCAGCGCTTCCAACTTCGCTCCAGTGAGAAAGCCTTCCAACAGTCAGACGGGAC